CAACAAAAAAAAACTCTTGTTGGCAAACAGGCCAAACCAGTTTTTCTGGTCTTGCTGGCTTCAGTAGGCTGAGGGGAGATTGGTATTGCTTTTCTCCCCTCACTCAGTCAGCCTCTCCCCAGGGCTAACCCTGTGTTCTCCCCAGAGCCAATCTGGTGCCTCTCCACAGGGCTCTGTGTGTGAGATCTGGGTCCTCCTAAGCACGCTCTCCGAAGCTCAAGGCTGTGGGTCCCAGGATCCTGTGGAGTGCCCGCGCCTTCCCTGTGTTCACAGCTGTGTGCTCTGGGGATCCTGTGGAGCACCTGCGCCTTTTCTGGGTTCATGGGTGTAGGCTCTGGGGCTCCAGAGGGGCACGCACTTCCCCCGAGTTTACAGCCGTGGGCACTGGGGATTCTGCAGAGTGCCAACATCTTTTCCATGTTTGTGACTGTGGGCTCCAGGTCTTCCACAAAACCTCACTCTCTCTGGGTTTCGGGCGCGGGGTCAGGCTGCCCTTGGTCACACAGGCTGGGGCACACACTCTTCCCAGGGGTATGCATGGGTGCTCACAGCCCCTGTGTGATTGCCTCTCAGTCCTCACTCCCCTCTCTGTGCCTTCAAGCAACCAGGCCTCCCCCCCTCCACCCCGTATTACTCAATCCTTGTTTGGCTGGGGAGGGAGAGGTTGACCCAGCTCTCTCCCGAGTGCCCTGAGGCAGACGTGGGAGCGCTGCGCCTGGGGCTGCAACCTCTCTGGTCCCCACGCTGATCCCTGGGCCCTTATTATCCTGAAGCACTCTCCTTACCATCTGGTGTTTCCATGTCCACTATAATTTTGATCTCCTATTTTCATAAATGTTGCAATACTGTTGGGTGTTTGTTCTGTTCCTCAGTAGATCATCTAGGTTTTTCTCCTGTGGGTAGGAGGAAGTGGAATCTGCTCCCTCCTACCATGCCACCATCTTCCCTCCCACATTTGTGGGGTTTTTTAATCTTTTCTTTTTTCAATTTTATTTATTTATTTTTAGAGAGGGAAGGGAGGGAGAAAGAGAGAGAGAGAAACATCAATGTGTGATTGCTGAGGGTCATGTCCTGCAACCCAGGTATGTACCCTGGCTGGGAATCGAACCTGCGACACTTCGGTTTGCAGCCCACGCTCAATCCATTGAGCTACGCCAGCCAGGGCCCACATTTGTGTTTTAATGAGACCTTCAGTGCGATGACCCAACCTTAATAAAAGCACCACAGTACCCCCACCTGATTGTGGCCCTCCCATTCTCTGAGAATAACATTCTTTTAGATCCTTGCTTCTCAAAGTGTGGTCTGTGGACCAGCAGTATAGACATCACCCTGGAATTTGTTAAACTCTCAGACCATACTCCAGACCTATGGCATCAGAATCATTTTAGTAATATCCCTATGTGACTCATATGCACATTCAAGTTTGAGCAGCACTGCTAGGGTAAGGAGCAGCTAGCCAAAATGAGGGCTCCTTTATAGGAAGAAGGAGTGTGTTTAAGCTCCTTATAAGAGGGCTTCAGAGCTCCAAAGATGAGGCTCCCATCCCTTCCACCCAGAGAAGATGGTGTCTCTTGGGGTTCCAGTTGCCATGCTGGATCCCTGGAGCTTCTAGGAGATTCAGGCTCCTGTGATTTGAATAAAAGGGCTAATTGGCCCCACAAGGCTCCAAATCTTGCCAGTTGCAAGGGGAGTGACAAGACTCCCCAAGGAGCCAACCAAATGTAAAGAGAAAAGAGCTAAAGGCTGTTGCTAATGATTGGAAGTCTACGCTGTTATATGTATTCTTCTGCCAAAATGTGCTAATGAGAGAGCATCATGTCATAACCTCTCCATCTATTCAGTTCACTTGTCCTTTAGCCATGTTCTGCCTAGCAACAGTTGTCAGTGTGAGCTCTAGTAACCTATCCCTCTTTGGACAGTTTGGGGAAGGGATTGGTTTAGCCCACAGAGGAACTGCAGTCAGGGCATCCACAGGGTGCCAGGTTGGGTCAGGGAAAGAGCTGCCTGGAAAACAAGGGGACAGAGTGCATTATGGAGCTGCCTGTTAGAGGCAGAGTTGATGGTGGAAGGGCCTGCACTGTGTGAAGTGGGTGAAGTTTATCTTTAACTCTCTTTCTCTGCTCCTCTGGCTACCCTCAAACAATGCTACTGGTAATATTGCCATGTCTGCATCTGCATGATACATTTAACCTCCCAAAGTGCTTCTGTAGCCACATTTCATTTTATTCTCTCAATAACTCTGAGTTAATGGGATCAGATTCAGGTTAATTAGTATGTGGGGTGGCCATCCAGAACTGGTCAGGACAAGGAGTGCTTCTGGCCATAGGGTTGGGCCCAGCCCTGTAATAGAGACTCAATAGCTAGAGAGTTCAGGGCCCCTGAGTGGGTGTAGGCAGGGGTGCTGGGGTTGTGGGCCCTGTCTGAGAGATTTGGCTCTAGCTGGACTGCTAATGTGGTTCACTTCCCTAGGTCACTTCTTTTTTAACTACCTTGGGGGCTGGGATCAAGGAGTAGTAGTCACCTAGCCTATTTGTCAGGAGAGTTAGAGACTGTGAGGGAATAATGGATGTGAAAGCACCTTTTCTCAGATGAGGTAATAAGTGTAAAAATGAAAAGAACTACCTGACTATAAAGTGTTATCATTAGGCAGAAGAAAAAGGCTAGGCTTTTACCTGGGTCACTGACTACTGGGGGTAAACCTGGCTAGCACAGGGTTAGGAGTTACCTTTGAGGGCCTTAGGTAGTAAGGGGACAGAGTGAAGGCATTGTGCATGTGGGACAAACAAAAGAAAATAGCAGGGCCTAGAAACAATGCTGGGTGGGGTAGAGGGACCATAAGTTTTGGCTGCTTCATAATTTTGTTCAGGGTTGCCTTGTTTGAAGGGATCAGAAACAAAACATCTTTTGAACTCATACTGGTTATTTCTCCCAGGAGAGAACTCATGTGACCTATGGACAGCTGATTTCCTGTCATCCATCATTTTTGCCTTCAATGTCACTCCCAAGTCTCCAGGCACTTAGCAAATTTCAAAGGAACTGAGCTGTAGGCACAGAAAGATGCAAACCCTGGGAGGAAAGGGACAATTTCCATTTGCATTTAAAATGGCCTTCTAGTCTGTCAATGAGGGTGTTTCTTCTCTGACCACAGATGCCTGGGAAGGCTCAGACAGTGTGAGGAAAGGGCGCCTGAAGGATCTGGGGAGGACCTAGTTAGGGACAGTTTGTCCAACTCAGTTAGGGACAACCCCAGGAAGATGTGCTCCACTCACACCTATGGACATGTCTGCTTTGTCTGTGGGAAAATAGCTCGGTCCCCTGTGGGAAGATGGGTGCCACCCATGCATAGAACTAGGCTTCATGTCTCTTGCCATCACTGCTCTTTCCTGGTCATTTTAGCACAATGCTTGCCTATTCCATAGATCCCTCTCCAGTTACTATACCTCCTTCTCTGAATATACAACTTGGACCTTAATGCAGGACTTTGTATACTATTCTCAGTTACCACTCTAATTCTTTTGTTCCTTTTGGCTCTTTGAGGGGTAACAGGCCCCAAGCCAGCTTGTATGCAGCTAGAGTTGATGTGGCTGGATTCAAATTAGCCATAGTCTGTCTTTATTCTCGAATTCTTTTATGAGAGTGACAAGCCCAGAACTTTGAATTTATCTTTTATACAATTACTTTCTCCTCCCCCCATAAATAGACCTAAAGTTCCTCTCTAATTACTGAATATGTGTCCTGATAAATGAACTAATTATTTGAAACCATTTGTTAGTGAGGTATTTGGTATTCTTAGCTAGTAAATAATCATTCTCATAGTGTGAGAACCTCCCACTTCTTTTACAAACTTTATACTAGTTTGATTAATTAACTCCTGGCCTTCTGTATCTTGTTCAGAAGGGCTCTGCCTGGAATCCTAGTTTTCAAGGATACACACACTGAGGCTAGGGAACTCAACCCATTTATTAGGCCAGAAAGCCAGAGGGTAGAGTGATGCCAAGTCAGGGAACTCAGGCCCTGGGTTTCTTGGCTCTGGTCCCCTCTCTTCCACTTCCACCTACCTTGTCCTACCCATTGGCCATTCATTCCCCTCTTTACCTCCTTCCCTGCTGCTGTCACACAGTGCCCTCACCCCTCAGGGCTTTTCATTCTAATACTTAGCTCAGAGCCATACTTCCATGCAGGTGGCCTTGCTCTGGCCCTTGCTATGGAACCTTTATAAAGTCCTTGTGTAATTCCTAACCTTCAGTAACTTAAGTTGTAGGCATTGAAGAGCCATCTGTAATCCCTCCCAGGTACTGTGTCAGCGATATTTCTTCTTCCAGCTCACCTGGAGTTCAGTTCTTCTGGCACCATAGGGCACAGCTCCCCTTCTTGCCCACAGGAGCCATTGTCCAGTTATTCCATTTACTGAAATTAGTTGGCATTATGTCCAATTGTGTAAGGCAGTGGTCCTTTCTGTTAGCCCATTTGTTTATATATGCCGTCTAAATATTTTATTGTTATATATCACCCAAGGGACATTAAAGTTTAAAATCACTCAAGGACTGAATGTAGGTACTCCACATTCTGAAATGATTTCACAGTCCTTCCCTATATACTTGCTTATTTTGTAGTCCTTTCCCTCATAGTTGTGGTTTCTCTTAAGGAGGTAATAGCCAATTCAATGGATAGTGACAATTAACCTTCAGAACAACACACTTCCATTTAGGCTCCTTTTAGAGTCCCAATACCTTGAGGAAAGGACTGACTAATGTCAGGCTCTGGTACCAGTGTCCTCTATTGACTCTGGCCCTGTAGACAGGAGACAAGTGGCTTCTCCTTTCCAGACTCCTCTTTCTCCAATCTGAAACAGTGCCTCTGCTGGTTCCAAAAGATGCAGGAAGTTAAGTGTGTGAACTCCCAGGTGCCATGCTGGCGCCCTAATCGGTGTCCCTTACATCTGCTTCTGAGGTTTAGTTGCCTTTGCATCTTGTTTTGCTCCCATGTTCCCCTTCCCTTAGTCATGTGATGCAGGAAGAGAGTACAAATGATATGGAATGTGAGCAGCTGCCAGCAGAGACACTGCGACAAGTGACCATTCACCGAGACCCTATATATGGCTTTGGCTTCGTGGCCGACAGTGAGAGGCCTGTGGTGGTGCGATCTGTGAGGCCAGGTAGGTGTCCCTCAGGTACTCCCCCGGCCCTGGATCCTATCCTCCAACACCCACACATCTTCACAAAGAGAAGAGCTCCTGAGTACATTGTGTTGCCAAAGAATTCATGAAGAGTTGGTAAAGACTTGCCAGCCGATCACTGTGTGAGGGAGCTGGTCTTTTAAGACTGACTGACATAAGCCTTTGAGACTGCATGGTACTTTAGGCAGAGGCTGCAGTTGATCATTTAGTAAGGTCTGGATCTTAATGAAGCTTCCCATTTGCCTAGAACCTTCATAGAAGAGCCATACTGCCTTGGATGAAAATTTTAATTTCAATTCAACAAGTATTTATAGATTGCCTACTCTAAGACCAGCAAGGTTGTAAGGAAGTACATGACATAGTTCCTGTCATGTACTGATTCCAAGAATCTAACCATCTGACTGTGGAGAATGGTACACAGTCATGAACTACATCAGCCACTGAAGACTGGAATCAGGATTCAGACCGTAGGTGAGAGAGAAGAGGAGAATGAAATCTCTGAATGCCATAATGGCAATAACAGTAGCTACCATTGATTAAGCACCTACTGTGTGCTTTACATAATCTCATTTAATTTTCACAGCCAAGCCTGCAAGGTAAATAATATCATTGTCATTTTATAAATGAGGAAACTGAAGCAGAGAGGAAGAGAAATGACTTGTCCAGGGTCACTCAGCTAGAAAGAAACAGAGGCAGGATTTGTAACTGAGCCTGACTGATACCATGCTGTGGAAGCAGGGCTTGAATGGGGCCATGTGAGATGAAACAAGCAAAAGCCCCACCTTAACAGTGAAACATTCCATCATGAATGAAATAGGAAAGGGCCTAGACACTGCTTTATTCCAAATCTGCTAGGCATTGACAGAAAGGACAGACAGAAAGCACCTTTATTCCTGACTTGCTGGTCCTTAGGATTTAAATGTTTACAGCAGTTTCTCGCTTAGTCAAGAGGAGCAGCCAGAGTACAAACCTTTCTAGCAGAAATTTGATAAATTTTGTAATCCTCAAAGGACAAGAAATAGATTTTGTAAGCTCTCTCTTGAACTAGAGGGCATAGAGAAAAAAAAATCAATTCAGTACAGGAGTTTGTGGCTGACCCAAGACTCCCAAGTCAGTCATACTGTTTGGCAAAAGGTTTTTGGTTTCTGAGTCTCTGATCAGAAGTCAAAGTAGTTCTGGGTAGAGGAACCAGATAAGACTTAGTAACAGACCACCAGGAGCCTCTTCTTTTACTTCAAAGGAGACAAAATTCACAGGGCCAAAGGAAGCCTTGAGCTTCAAGTGGTATAATGAGGAAGAAGAGTTGAAAGAGTAGAGAGAAGGAAAGCCACAAGAAAGGGCCGCAGAAAGCCATGAGACTGGTAGGCCAGTCTAATGTAGACTTGGGCTGATTCACAGAGCTGTTTATGCCCCAGGTGGCCCCCATATGTACATGACTTCTTTGGTTCTATATTTGAGACCTTAAGAAAGGACAAGAAGTATCCTATAGAGAAATGAGTATGGTTGAGCATGCCAACAAACCACTCTGTGAAAGCAGCAGCAAATGAATGCTTCTTACCACTGCCGTCAGAGAGTTGAGTTCCATAGGACATTTTCTATTAAAGGGAAGGAAGGAAGAAAGGGAGAAAATATGTAGAGTGGCCTCCACTTAAAAGATTGACATTTATGGTAGATGTAGATAACAGGAATGAAATGAGTTGAAGAAACGGTCCCTCAGAAGATATAATAACTAACATTTATCAAATTCTTATCAACATCAATCAGCTGTTTTAAGTGCTATACATTCATCATCTCATTTATCCTCCCAACATTCTTATGATGTGTAGGTCTAAGTATTTTCCCATCTTACAGATGGGGAAAGAGATTCAGATAGATTAAATGTCTTGTCCAAAGTCACACAACTAATGAATGGCAGTTGGGACTAGAGTCCAGGTCTGGCTGGCTGCAAAGAGTGGACTCTTCACCATTATGCTTTCTGCTCCTAAAGTCACTGTGCTGTTGAAAGACTTGGCTGAGGGGGTTGAAGGCCATTGCCATTGGAATGGTGAATCCTGTTGGCTGAGCTGGCACAGCCACCCTCAGAATGCAGGCCCCATGCTCCAGAGCCATTGAGCTACATGCTCAAGTGACATAGTTTCTTGCGTTTTGTTCATGTTTTTGGAGTTTGCATAGGAAACTTCTTTGTAGAGAGAGGAAGCACTTGGGATCTGTCCCTTAAAGTGGACACAATCAAGAGTTCAGGATGGTCTAAGATTGGAACATGTCATTAAACATTTCTTTTGGGTTTGAGTGAGGCTGGGTCTCATTTCTCATTCTCCCTGAATCTCTGAAAAGCTTTTCTTTTTTTTAAAAAGATTTTATTTATTTATTTTTAGAGAGGGAAGGGAGGGAGATAGATAGAGAGAGAGAGAGAAACATCAATGTGCAGTTGCTGGGGCCCGTGGCCTGCAACCCAGGCATGTGCCCTGACTGGGAATCGAACCTGCAACAATTTGGTTTGCAGCCCATGCTCAATCCACTGAGCTATGCTAGCCAGGGCTTTGAAAAGCTTTTCTATAAGAATATCCTTGCTAAACACCAAGGGCAGCACTGCCTGTACCACTCAACCCCCACCCTTTACCTCAACCAAGAAGATAATGTCAAACAGATCTGCTTTCTTAACCTCAACAGTAAAAATGAGAATGAGAAAAAGCAATTTCCAACTCCCCATGATTTAGGATCTTTGTCTTCCCCACCGTCATTTATTGGAGAACATCCCTCAGAGTTGAAAGAAACCCTTTGAGTTTTTTAGTCAATCACCCATCTCCAGGCACGTGAATGCCTAAATATTTCAGAGCAGCAGGTATGAATAGTGTTTAAGTAAGAAGATTCTTCTCGTCATCTGTATCACCTCCAGCAGACTGAAAGTCATTCTTTAAGCCTAAACTTGGTGAAGTGGAAGCCTGTGTTCCTCTTTAGAACCCAGCCAGGACAACACTCATTTGCCTCATCTGAGGCCTTTGCTACCACACTGCTCCCATCCAAAGGGGTCCACTTCATTCTCTTTCTTTAATCCCCTGTCCTCCATCTTCCACAGGCAGCAGTGGCAAAGCTCAAACACCACCACTGCCACCCCCCCAGCACCACTCAGCCTGCACAATCTCCTGCAGGCTTCAACACACACTTCAGCTTCCTTAGACACTGGGAATTCCCTCAGAAATGAGCTTTCCCATCAGTGGCCCCAAGCCCTCATGCCTCTCTCCTCTCCTCTGCAGGAGGCCCCGCTGAGGACAAGCTCCTGACTGGTGACCAGATTGTGGCTATTAATGAGGAGGACGTGAGTGAAGCCCCCAGGGAGAGGTTCATAGAACTCATCAGGTAACAGGTGCCTTCTGGATCTTGGCAGGAGCTGAGTACTCCCCCTTCCCCTGTCCCACCAGTGGCATAGGGCTACCATGGTCCTCCCTGGCACTGAAAGAGGAGCCCTTTCAGGAACAGCAACCCCAGCCAGGGCTCCTGTCTACTTAGGACTTCAGGGTTCAGCCCTTCTGGGACTCCAGGGGCCCTCATACACTCTGGTTTAGCCTTCTCCAGTGATGTGAGCAGACACAAAGAACAGCCTCCTGCCAGAGTTCCCCTCACACCTTCTAACTCACTACTCACCTCACCCAGACCCCTTGGTTTTTGACTTACTGTGCAGTGGGACAAACCAAGTGACCAGTGAGTACCAAACATGGCATTAAAAGAACACTCTGAGCCCTGGCTAGTGTAGCTCAGTGGATTGAGTGCGGGCCTGTGAATCAAAGGTTCACCGGTTCAATTCCCACTCAGGGCACATGCCTGGGTTGGGGGCCAGGTCCCAAGTAGGGGGCATGTGAGAGCAACCACACATTGATGTAATTGACCAGGGTTGGGGCCCACACATATGTATAAAAAGAAATTTTACAAAGTACACTCTGAGATAAGCACAGTGTAAACAAGACATTGTTTTTTACCTCTCCACCCCTCCACCCCCCAAAAAAAACAAGAAGAAGAAAATCGAAATCCCTGGCCAGTGGTTTGAGGATGGGAACCTGCCATTGTGGATTTTACTCATGGTATGTGTGACCCCTTCGTGACCTCCATATGGGGGCAAGTGGGAGAAAGAAAAGAATATCAGGGGACCACAACCACCTGTATGTGGGAGTAATCACATTGACTTTTTCCCTTCCTTACACCATTCACACCACATACCACATACTCCATGCACACCACACACACTCATACACATACCATGCCACCACATAGTGCACACACATACACCATTCACACTACATATCATGCATACACATACCACATACCATGCCTTCACATAGCACTCACACACCACATGCCATACATACACCCTATCACAACACATACTCACACACACCATGCACACCACATACACAAGATCTGTCTAGAAGGTATCCAGCCATGTAATATGAAAGATAGGAACATTTACAGAAGAAGAGGCAAGGTATAAGGAACATTGTACATAGGACAATGAAGCCTCACTCCCCTTCAAAGTAGGTACCTTGGGACCTCTCACACTTCTCCCAATCTCCATCAGCTGCTCTGTCATATTTTCCTGAATGTCACTGATGGTCTAAAATTGCTTCCCTTTCCTTTTTTTTAAAGATTTTACTTACTTCTTTTAGAAAGGGGAAGGGAGGGAGAATGAGAGGGAGATAAACATCAATGTGTGGTTGCCTCTCACGTGCCCCCTACTGGGGACCTGGCCTGCAACCCAGGCATGTTCCCTAAACTGGGAATCGAACTGGCGATCCTTTGATTCACAGGCCCGCACTCAATCCACTGAGCCACACCAGCTAGGGCTTGAAATATCTTCCCTTTCAAAGGTGATTTTAGTTTTGGGAAAAGCCAGAAGTCGCAGGGCACCACATCTGGGCTATAGGGGGCCTGAGTCACCTAGGTGATTTGATGTTTCACCAAAAACCTCTGCACGAGACATGATGCATGAATGGGCATGTTGTTGTGATGAAGCTGCCAATCACCAGTCACCTATACCTGTGGCCTTCTGATTCATCTGAATAGTTTCCAATAGTTTCTGCAGAGGAATGTTCAAGCTTAATGCAAAATTTGATGCAGATTCGTTGCTTTACTTGCTTAGTCATTTTGCATGCAATAACCACACAGTACACATGCTCACTCAATGGCATCTACCACCCCCACTAATATAGTGCAGTCATCATTGTTCATGCATGCTCATTACAGTCCACTCTCCTTGGCTGCCAGGTTATACTGATGTTTCACAAACCATTCTTGTTGTATTGTTAGTGGCTGGACTTTTTGTGAACAGACCTTGTATGCTCACACATATACCATGCACACTGCATGCCTCCCACACCACTTATCATCTACTTTATACCACACACACAACACACATACACTGCACACCCACACCCACCCCACACACACCACAGATTCATGCTATGCCACCACAAACCACACACGCCATGCACAATACATACCACACATACTGTGCACATACTCATAACATGCCACCACATACCACACACCTTGAACTACACACATGCTTATATATACCTGTGCCACATGCTTACATACACATACATACATCATACACAACCCACTACCTCACACTCCCACCACATGCACACATACATACCACTCACATATACCCTTGCATAGACTTGTTGTTAGGGAATGAGGAGATAGGGGTGCAAGTTTTAAATTCTGTGGGCTAACCTTAGTTTGGGGGACCTGGCTATCTCTCCCCAAATGAAACCATGTGCTATCTCTCTCACTCTCTTTCTCTGCCTTATGTAGCCTGTTCCATCTCTGCCTCCATCTCTTTCAACCCTTCTTGGTTCAGAGTGATTTTTATCCCATTCATCTTTCTTGCCCTCCCAAAGCCCACCTGACCCTGAGTTCCTGCCTCACCTTCAAAGGCAGACTTAGTGCTCTGAGTATGCAGCAGCACCCTTTCGTTAGCTCTGAAGGGATTTGGAATGTTCCCTCTTGAAGTCTACAGCAGGCCTTTCTTGAAATACCCCCCTTCCAGCTCAATATATTGGAATGTGTCTGGTCCCTAATGACATTTAGTTGGTCTCTTCTCTAAATTCAGTTGTCCATTGTATTCCACACATCTCCCTCTATCACCATACCAGTATGAAGTGAGTTATTTTAACCTAATCTGGACATGTTGGGGTTCTTTCAACCCAACCTCTCAGAAGTCTTTGCTTTGCTTCCAGTAAATATCTTTATACCTTAGAACAAGGTAGCCCAATCTTGTGAGGGAGTCCAGAGCTCCTTTGGGGTCAAAATGGAGCTTGCTCACTTGATATCCTTAGGGGCGAGTGGATCATTCATTCATTAGTTCATTCATTCATTAAATATTTATTATTGAGTGTATACTGTGTACCAGACACTGTTCTAAAGCACTGAATATACAGCATGTGTGAATAGGACAGACAAAATCCATGTGCATTAGAGTTTACATTCTAGTGGAATGAAATATACTAACAGCAATAAACATGATAAATAATTATACAGTATACTAGAAGCTGATGAGTGTTATTAAAGACTCGAATGTGGATCAGAATAAAGAGGATCAGGAGTACTGAGCACAGGAGTACAGAATGCAACTTTAAATAGCATGGCCAGTGTCAGCCTCATTGAGAAGGTGACATTTGAAGAAAGCCTTGAAAGAGGTGAGCATGTTGGAGAAAGAAAGACCCAGGGCCAAGGCACCATGGCAGGAGTGTGTCTGGCATATTTGGGGAACAGGAGAGAATCCAATGTGTGGAATGGGGTAAGGACGGGGGAGAGTTGTAGGCACTATTAAGGACTTTGGCTTTTTTCTACTTGAAATGGGGAGATGTGGCAGGGGCTGGAGCAAATAAATCACATAATTATGTTCTTGCTCTCTGTAAGAGACAGATTTTTCTGTGGTGTTTTCCCTGGAACACAACTCCTTCTTTCTCCTGGGAGCTTCCCAGACCCTGGCACTGATTCATCCTGGAACTTTGCCTCACTGAATATGCATAATGTTCCAGTCTTTAAGCAGGGGGCTTGGCTTTACTTGAGTCACCAGAATCAAGAGCATTTTCACTCTCCTTCTGGAATACCTTTATTCCCAGAAACATTTGAAAAAGGCCAGCAATGAGAGGGGGTGCTCCTTCAAGGCAAACTCTTTCCAGTAATTTTAGTTATTTTAAAGGTTTATGCATTCCTGGGAGAAAATGTTCATACCTCACAGCCTGTTTGATCATTGGCATAATTCATGTTGGAAGAGTTTCAACTTCTTCATTCTTTTGAATACTTGCTATCAGGAGAGTCTTGGCTTCCATCTGTGGCTCCCTGGCTCATGTTTTTTGATCCTTCAATTAAAACAAATCTGTTGAGTATTAGTCATGGTGACCAAATGATCTCCTTTGGGTTTTTCCTTTGAGTGTACCCTCTTGCTTAAATATCAAATTGCCAATAATCATAATACATGGTTCCCAAGACTGAGTGTGTGCCCTTTGAATTTCATAATTCAGGCCTTTAGTTTTTCTTGAGAATTTTATAGTCTGCAGATAAAATTACTCCTAAGGTTTGGGGATTTCTACAGAGAGAATATGAGAAGGATTATTAAAAATCCTGAAAAATGACAACCTCAAGGATAATGATAACACCATTTCAGATGCCTGTGTGAACCTATATTGATGGTGTATGTCAGCTACCACAAATGATGGGAGGTGAGGCAGCTATGTAGATCCTCAGATTGCCCTCTGTCCTAATCCATATACCTGAATGCAGCTCAAGGGGAAATTCTGGTGTTGCTTCTTGTGCTAGATGAGTACTTAGTGCATAATACACTACTCTTCTGTTCCCTCTTCTCTCTTTAGGAGTACTAAGGAATTCGTTGTTCTTACAGTTCTGCACACTCATCAGGTGAGTGAGCTTCTTTGCTATCTACCCTTCTTCCTGAAATGAGAGGACTCCATATAGGAAAGTGATAGTGATGAGAGAGAAGGTGGGAGAAGAGACTAGGACCAACATTTTGTAATCCAAGGAATTAGGACTAGACTTAAAACATACCTTCTTAATGTCTTACCTACTCTCATGTCCAAGGTTTGAGAATTTTAAAGGGCTATACAGTGCTCTAGGCCCTCTACTTTATCCCACTTAAACTGCCTACCTTCACAGTTCCAGAGGTACTTTACAGAGATATTTTCTACCTCTTTTTTTCTGTATCCCATCAAAATTTATCTGTCTAGTGTTCAACTCTCATAAAGTCCTTGCAGGCAGTGGGTGGAAATCTTATTCATTCATTCATACAGGTATTTACTAAATGGCCTGCATTGTATGAGACCCACCACTGTATGTGGGGAATTTAACATACAGTTTCTGGGGAGGTACAGTTCAACAAACAGGTTGAGCTGTGTCCTGGTTCAATCACTAATTGGCTGTGCGATCAGTTAAAAGGTGTTTCCTTTTCTGAATCTGTTTCTTCATCCATAAATTGAGGGTTTAGACTAGAACAGTGTTTCCCAAATTTGCCTGATCACATAGTCAGCAGGATTACTTATTAAAAGTGAAAATTCCCAGGCTCCTCTCCTTAAGAGTTAGATTCACAAGGCCCAGTGTCCTTTGCTACATTATATCCTGATAGTAATTTTAACTCAAATGCACAACTTCAAGTAGAAACATTCCATGTGCAAAACTCAGAGCCTTCCTTACACCTCCAGTCTGGTTGTCCCTTCCCAGTGTCTACAACACTCCCCTACACCCCAGCACTGAGGTTTCACTCCCATCCTATAGCCACAGGAGAATCACCTGTTGGGGTGAGGAGTATGAAAGCAGGGGAGGCTTCACAGAGGAGGATACACCTGAGCTAGACCTTGAAGGATGGGGCAGGATTTCCCAGGCAAAGATGGAGGGAAAGATTTTCCAGAGAATGATGACATTTCGTGCAAGGCCAGGGACAGGGAACAGGTGCAAATCAGGCTGCATATCACAGGCCAAGTTTTTGTTTCTCTGGGATACATGCCCAAAAGTACTATTGTTCAAATATAGAGTATATTAAATGAGTAGTTTATCAAAGAAACTACCATGCCATTTTCCAAAGTGGCTGTGACATTTTACATTCCTGTGAAATATTATATTTATATGTATTTATTGTATATATCCCTCATTTGAATATCAGCTCCATGAGGATAGAGACTGTTTTGTTCACTGCTATATCCCCAGTGTCTGGAGTAGCACCTGACAGAGTTGGCACCTGATAAATATTTGTTGAAGGAATGAAGGAAACCCAACTGCTAGCCATCACAGCAACCTAAACTAAAGTGTCCAAACTTAGCTGCAGAATGAAAAGGTAAACACTCCCCCATCTCCATCTCAACTGTCATCCCAGTGCCATCGCCCTTTGCCCCCAGTTCTGATGCCCCCACTGTCCTACTCCATGGCCTCTTTGCTAAGACCAAGCTGTTTTCCTTCTCCTCCTTGTACATTCCTTAGTTCTTGCTGCCCTGCAGACTTCTGTCCTTGTTTTAGTCCATATCCCTTCTAATAGATGGCTGTTTCCTTTAAGACTTGGCCTATGGCTCATGTCTTCTAAACACCTGTTCCTGACTAACCTCAGTGAGAACTTTTAATTCATTCATTCATCAAACCTTTACTGAATGCCTACTGTTCTAGGTGTTCTTCCAGACAGGAAATATAGCAGTGCATGGGACAGACATGGTTCCTCCCTCAGAGAGCTTAAATTCTAGTTCCTGGCCTTGTGATCTCTAAACTCTTTGAGCATAGATGTGGGAGAACACATACACACAGGGGTGATAATCAAAACAATTAGCAGCTTGTACAGTAGGGGCCATCCTATCAGAATGTAAGCCAATAGGCACTGGAGTAGAGCCTTGAAGGCCCCCTAACTGTACCAGGTGTTAACCCTTTAGTTGATCATTTGTAAAGAGGTCCCAGGGGAGAAGTCAGGTGGTACCCAGGAAGCTTAGGGCAGTGACTACTTACCAATTAGTGTGAAAGAATCCCTCAATATTTTACAATAGGTATGGCCATACCAGTGCATCCTGACTGAATGTCAACCTTGCATACATATACAGTTGATCCTCATTATACAGATTCCATGTTTGCAAATTCATCTATTTCCTAAAATGTATTTGTAACCACAAAATTAACATATTTTGCCTTGTATAGTGCACACTTTTTTGCCCAAACTTTTGGGGGGAAAATAAGGGTGTGCATTATACATAAGTAGCAGTAAACCGTGGGTGCACATCATGCACAGCAAAATACGGTACTACTCACAATGCTTTACTAGTCATTTGCAGACACATGCAGAGCATGAAAAATTGAGTCTCTTAATGAACACATTCCTAGCTGAGGTCAAACAAGGCAACAATCTGTCTTCTTGTTTCAGCAGTCATACAGAGGTGTTCCAGAGGATAGAGGTGGTAGGGGGCAGTGCAATGTACTGCAAGAAACTGGATGTGATGATAGTTGCATGGGATTTGAATCCCAACTCTCACCCCTTTAGTGGGGTGGCCTTAGGAGAATCACTTAACATTTCAGAACCTCATTTTCTCTTGGTAAAATAAAGGAGATAGAATCTACAGGATGAGTTGTTTTTAGAATTTAAGATTGTAATATATGTAAGATACACACACTTTTCCCCTAGTAAGAACTGTTCAGTATTTATTAGTTCAGTTTTCAAAGTGACTTTTTAGACCATAACCACCATGAAGAACAAAAATTAACTGAGAGAATCTCCTCTCTAAAGCTATAGTGAAAGCTTCCTGAAGACCACCAGCATATATTCAGTATTATAGCCCCTATATCACAGAACATATTAATAGTACTGTGTCCAAGGTAGGTACTTGGCATCTCATGGGTGCATGGAGACTGCTGCCTCTTACCAAACTCTTGTTATGTTCAAGCTTACCACTCCTTCCAGAAGACAGTCTCCCAATAGGTCCTGAATGTGGCCCAGTGACTTATTTTTAATTAAGAGCCACAAGTAAACCTGATGCTCAGTAGAATTTAGGAAATATTGGATCAGAAAATGTCTAAGGCTCCAGGTAGCTCACTCCTACATTCTATGATTGATAATGGTCTAATATAGTGGTTTTCAACCCTGGCTATGCAATGGAATCCCCCAAGAAGCTCTTACTAATATTAATACTTGGGCTGTAGCCCCGACCAAGTGAATTAGAAGCCTTGGGAATGGAGCCCAGATATTGGTCTTTTGAAAAGGCTCCCCAAATGATTCTGATATATAGCCAAGGTACATATTATGAACTACTGGTCAAACATGTAGTCTCTTTCACATGGCATTTTCTTTTTAACGGAGGGATGCATACCATGGCAGACCATTTGGGGATATATTGAGCAGTCACAGGGGTCCTTTCCCAGGGCCACTCAAATCATTCTGCATAGATAGCCACTTATTAAGCCTATATGTATTTAAGGGTGTTTCCTAATCTTTGAATGACCATTATTGGCTGAATATGTATTAATTTGGTACTGTTAGACCTTGGCACATAGTATGTCCTCAATAAATATTTTAAAATCGATGAAGTACTGGGTTGTCACATAGAATGGCCCTGGTAAAGCAAGCAGACAGTCCCTTCAGATGGTTCTGAAAACTTAGATTTTACCCAAAGAGCCACTCTCTGCTTAGAGCCACCTGGCCAAAAATAAATAAATAAATAAATAAATAAAAACCCTGCCAAAATAATAGGAACCACTGCAGAAGCATTGTTTTTCCACAGAGCTTCTTGGAGTATAGTGCTTGGAAGATGGTAGGTACTCAAAAATTATTTGCCAAATTGATTAAGTAATTCATTATTAACCTAGCAACCAGCTATCTTTTTTCTGTGCTCGGTGCTAGGGAGAGACATAGTAATGTAAAATGTCATCTCTTCTACAACCTAGTGGGGGAGGTGAGCACCATCGTCATGTGGATTAACAAGGAGTACTATAGGAAACCCAGGGAGGGGAATGGAGGAGTTGGGGAAGGATTCAGGGTCAATGTAGAATTTGAGCCAGGCTTTAGAGATGTCATTTATCTGAGCAAAAGGGACACTGGAGGCCATGGAAGTCAGGGATGGTGAAGAGAGAGTATGAGGTGGGCACAGAAGAGCTCAGTGTGTCCAGGGAGCTGTGAGCACAACCACCTGGCTAGGCAATAGATGGGGATCATGTGTGGCTTGTGGGGGACCTTGGAGGCTGGAGAGAGGACATGTTCACCTCTAGGCAGTTCCAAGTCAAGGAAGGAAGACCACCTGGGTCTTTTATTAGTGGGCCCATGACACCAGGATAGCTCCTTATTATCTCAGGGTCCCATAGTGCATGCTATGGGAATTGCTTATAATTAGGCTCAGGTATGAAAGACAGCGAGCCAGCAGAAAAGAGAATCAGGAGGCTGTCAAACATTTAAGAACCTGAGCTTCGTCCTCTTAAAATTCTTTCATAGTTAACAAAGTAGGGCTTTATCATGCACTAAAATGTTTGGCCATATACTCAACTTTGGCTAATATATAAGTGAACACAACCCCAAAATCTGTACTAATAGAGCCACCAAATTTTAAAATGACCAAAGAATCACCAGCTTCTGAATTCACTTCTGAGGGAGAGACAGGATCTGTCCTCTATTGCTTATTCTACCCAGCTGCTGGCTTCATATTTTTTAAGGGGCTTGCAGTGGCCCAGTGGCCCTTTAGCAATTCTAGTCCCATGTTTCAACTGAAAATTCATTTTAGCCAGAAAGGGCACCTATTGCAAAATGAGGCTCCCAGCTGCTTGAAGGAAAAATGGGTCAGTGAAGAGCTCAGATGTCTCATCTTTAAGATACTCAATTAATCTATGCTTGGTGGGTTAAGACATTTTCAACACTGTAAATTCCTGGGCCCCATCCCCTCATGGATTTTGACTTTTTAAGTCTGGTGTAGGCTTAGGACTCTGTATTTTAACAAGCATTCCCTAATGATTCTTGTCATTAGGAAAGTTTTAGAAACAGTATGTGACTGTATGCTAATGAGTTAGTACAGGGGTCAGCAAACTTTCTGTAAAGGGTCACATTATTTTAAGCTTTGTAAGCCATACATGATAGCCCAAAAGCAGCCATTGGCACTATATAAATTAAGGGCATGGCTGTGTTCCAATAAAGCTTTATAAAAAGACAGGTGGTATGCAGGATTTGGCCTACACATGCCCATAGTCTGCTGGCCCATGAGCCCCTGAGCTCCTGATCCCCTGAGCCCCTGAATTGTGTTCATTACTCCTCCCTGATACCACATTTGTAGTTTGACCAGGGCCTTCCCAGTCCTCAATATTTTAATTCAAATGAGTGATCTCAATGTTAAGAACTTTAGGCTCCATAGCTGAGCTTTGAACATGCTTTGAGACAGGATAACCTTTGAGAGCCCCTTGTATCCACACAGCAAGGCAGTTATCACTGTGTCAAAGCATAGGGCTAGGTTTGACTCTGTGAATGTAGCAAAGAACAACTGGCAATGAGTGAGTCACCATCAGCCATTGAGGCTGAATAGTGAGAATAGGATGGAGTCTTAGAGACCAAAAGGGCAAGGGTCAATGAGGAATGGGGCACAAACAAGCTGAAAATAGTTCTGTTATATATAACAGACACCAAAAATGATTACAATCCCTGAAAATATTGGAAATTCCACTTATTCCTTCATGATTTTGTTCCCATATATCTGAATCTTTTGTTTCTAGTAATATCTCTAGGATAGGATCTAATCTTGGACTTTTTTGATAAGTATAGCAAGGAGGCTACCCCTTCCATATGGGTAAATACATGAAAGGATACCAGTTGCAGTTCTTCATACATTTGAATCTATTCAATAGGACCAAGGTAGAACTATAACCAGTGGATGAAAGATCAGGAATAGACTTTCAGCTTTGGCCTGCTGTGGGGAACAATTCACTAATCCAAGACTCAGGAAATCTGGGTTCTAGTTTCAACTCCACAATGAAATTATTTTGATAACTCTGAGTAAACCATATAATCTTCCCAGGCCTCCATTTCCTGTGTAGAAATGAAGGGTGGGCAGCATTTCCCATTCAGTTCTCTAGAGATGCCTCTTTCCACACTGCACACAAAGGCATCCCATGATAGATGATCACAGAGAAAGGGTATCTCTCAGGTAGCACGAAGAATTTGCTTGCCTCATGTCTGTGGTGTCCATGGAGTCAAACAGAGCTGCCTGAACATAGCTACAGATCTCTCTCTCTCTCTTGCCCCTTCTCTGTGTTCCTGCTACAGCCTGCATGATTGGAGCACTAAGATGTGTAACACACAAAGGCATTTCTCAACTCCCTTGAACAATCAGTAATCCTGATTACTGTAAGCTGCAATGATCTCCAGCGCTGGGTTTCATTGTAGTATATCATCTGCAGCCAACAAATTGACCCTGTGTCTCAGGATAAGATACCCAAGGTTCCTTTAGTTCAGTGGTTTCCTACCTTAGCTGCATTTTTAAATCATTGGAAGCTTTAAAAAATACCGATACCTGGGACCCACCCCAGGAATTCAATGTAATTGGTTTGGAGTGGAGCTTGGGCATCAAATTTTAAAAGCTCCTTCAGTGTTTCTGCCATGCAGCTAGTACTGAGACCCACTGAGGTTTTGCTGGACTTAGGTTGAATAGGTGGCTTTCTGCAATCTTCCCTATGTGGGGAATGAGATTGCTGGTTGTGGAAAAGAACACAGCTGGGACCAGGGCCCATGACCTGATGAGGACATTTGTTTCTGTAATGTCTTTATCTTAGGGCCCTGCCCTCCTGTAGCTGATCTGATAAATGAATCTCAACCCAGCATTAATGGCAGGAAATAGCTAATGTATGGCCTTCTGAGATGGCAGAGACCTTCAGGACCTTAACATGAAGGAATTCTGGATTGTAGGACTTGAAGGCTTCCTGACAAGGCTGGTAGGGGAGGTGGTTTGAAGGCGCTCCAACTTGGTTTCCCCCAGTCTCCCTCATCTCATAAAATAACAACCCTGTTTTCCCTTGTGACTCCTCTCTTTTTTCTACCTCTTATATCCAATTCATCAACATATTGTCCTGGTTCTATTTTCAGAATATATTAAGAATTCACTCACTTTTCATCATCTCCATTATTACCATCCTAGCCCAAGCTGCCATCATATTTTAACTGTATTTTGGTGGTAGACTCATAACTAGACTCCCTGCTTTGGCATCACACTCCTATACTATTTTCCACACAGCAGCCAGAGGAGTCCTTTTATGAATAAAATGCAAGTCAGACCCTGTCTACTCAAAACCGTCCAGTAAAGTAAAATCCAAAATTATTGCCATGGATTACAAGGCCCTACATGACAAAGCCTCACACTGCCTCTGTAAGCACAACCCCTCTGAACCACCACCCCTCAATCATTCTGTTGCATCACACCAGGATCCCTTGCTGTTTCTCACATACCCCACTTCAACTTCCATATCAGAGCCTTTATTGTTCTTTCTAGCTGGATGGCTTTGTCCAGATAGCCTCATGGCTTCTCTCCCTTACTTTGTTCAGGTTTTTGCTTAAATGTCACCTTCTCAAAGGGGTCTTCCCTGGCCATCCTGTCTAAACTAACACTCCCATTACTTCCACCCTCACTCACTCATTCTCTTGTGGCATGCCTTACCCTGTTCAGCTTGTCCTCATAGTCCTTATTTGCTACTAAATGATATTTGTTCATTGTATGCTTGTCCCTGCTAGAATGGATGTTCCTTGAGTTCAGAGAGTTTTATCTGTCTTATTTACCACTGAATCCCTCATCACATAGAACAGCTCTTAGCACATAGAAGGCCCTCCCTAAATTTACCACATGAATGAATAAATGCAACTGAAGACATGACTCCTGTATTTCCTCCAATCCAAGGAGCACCCAGGAAAGACTTAGTTTCAGCACTTGCTAACCATGTATCCTGCTGAATTTGTGGGACAATTTTCAAGAACTAGAGATACTAGCTGATTCTATGGACATTTCATATGGAATAGTATGAACAAAGTGGTAGACAGCCCAGAACTGGAAAACCAGGACACCTGGGTAAATCCCCAATATCTATGTTCCTGAATAGTGTATAAATTGTAGGTAAATCATTTTGGAGTGCTAGGCACCCTTTCTCCCACACCTAAAATAATATTTTCTACAAGCTGCCTTCCTAGGGGCAGGGCACAGCTATGAGATGAATAAGATCAATAAAAACCACCATTTAGGTCTATCTCACATTAAGAAGACCAAATACATAGAAATTCACTGTATGTTATTATTAAAGAATTTTTGCAAACTCCCTTAGACCTAAAGCATTAATAATGAGATTCAGTTTACCCAAATTTGATTCATGCCCAGCTTTTTCAGAACACACCAATCCCAGGGTGAGGCAAAAGTAGGTTTATAGTTTGTTCATATGGAAAATACTCTAATACAGTAATTAAGAAATGATAATACAAAAACAAACTGTGTTTTGCATACTTGCAACTGTAAACCTACTTTTGCCCCACACTGTATAAAGAAGCACTTAGCAAATTGCCTTGTACCTAGTGGGGGATCAATACTTATTTATTGACTTATTGATAAGTAAGGGAAAGTGTACCCTTCCTGAGACATCTTAACTCTGGTGTGGCAAAGGTCAGGTTTTTCTGAAGAATGAAGAACTCACTAGCTCTCTGTTCTATTTCCAGTCCCCCAAATCTGCCTTCATCAGTGCTGCAAAGAAGGCCAAGCTGAGATCCAATCCTTCGAGGGTCCGATTTTCTGAGCAGGTGGCAGTTGGAGAAACGGATGCAGTAAGTGCAGCTTCCACTCTCTTTCCTCACCCCTTGGCCAAAGTCAACTCTGCCTTTGAAGTCTCATTCTGGGGCAGTTGCTCAACTGAGTGGATGGCATTACGAAAGGGTTAAAAGGGGGAGACCTCAAGGTTCTGGGTGGATAGCGAGTGAGGAATGTGTATCATTCAGAGAGGCCATGTGCATTGTGGGGAGAAATAATATGTTATCAATTCACTCAAGATCCTCATGTTGCTTTGAGAAATTTCATCTCTAGCACAGTAGCTTATGCTTAGAACAAGTGCTCTGTAAATATCTTTTGGCTACTTAATAGAAACAGGAATGAAGTAGTGGTTTTCTGAAGATCCAGAGAGAGAGCAGCTGATGAAATTGAGGTATCTTCACACTGAAGTGGTCCTGCAACTCCATATCTTCACTGAGAACTGTGCAATGAAAGGTGAAACAGACTAGGGGAAATGATACAGACTCTACTAAGTCACAAAGCTTTTTATTAGACACCTGCTATGCTCCCAGCACTGAAAGGAATGTGAAATAAATGTGTTTTCTGCCACTGGATACATTTCGGTGATGTTGGAGGGCAAGTGGTTCAGATGGGGACAGTATAGGATACCCCACTGAGTGGTATGGTTTCAAGGAGCAGGTGATGCTTGGCAGCTCATGCTATGTACTAGCCAATTTTGGAGGTCGTGGTCCACTTGCAGTCTTTCTCACTTCTATGTGGGGTTTATATGAGCTGAGCTGTCTTCTCCAGATAAGCAAATAAGAGTAGATCGGTGGAGAGCAGAGAGATGTGTAGTAAGCCATCACAGATTATGACCAGAGTCCCCCAGTAATCTGCAGATGTTGGTGATATCTGGCTGGGATAGGGTGGGGTTGGGTAATGGAGAGGAATAGCCAGAGCTATCAGCGACCTGTGTGCTTTTACAGGCTGTCATGTGCTGGGCTTTTGGGTGGCCCATAGCATTTATGTACTGAGGCACAGCTGCAGTTGAGAGACATTAGTAGGCCCAGATTTAGTGGGAAAATCAGTGGGGCAGAAGCACTCAAAAGGTACAGAAGACACAAGTGTCTTTCATTTCCATTTGCCTGACTCTCCTTCCCAAACTCAGCTCAGGCCCTCCTTTATTCCTGTTGGAGGAAGGGTATGAAGCCCAAGGAACTAACTACAGGTCCTCACTGGTAAGTTGTCTGAATAATTGGTGGTTGGACTTTACTTCAGTCCTAGGAGAAGAAGCTGAAGAGAGGCAGGGGTTGGTGAGGAGAGAGGAAAGGGATGAGTATGGAGTCACTGCAGATCAGGAAGAAGCAAACCCTGAGGTCCAAATCACTAAGAGGATGTTATGTCTTGAGACCTTGAATATCCAGAGAAAATGTGACTTGATTTTGTAAAGTACAGACAGGTGCAACCTATTGAATCTCAGCATTATAGAGTAATCATCCAAGGCCAGGTCACTCAGTAAAGAGCTCCCTCCCTTCCTCTCCCTTACCTTCTTCCCCTCCTTTTTTTCTCCCTTCTCTTCCTCTTGCTTCCAGTCTTCCTTCCCAATTCTTCCCTTCCTCTACCATGACTTGCCTCCCCATACATCTGTCTCAGCTAGCTACAGGCAGAATCAAGCCCCACTCTAGACCAGTCTGAATGCAAATACTCCAGAGCAGCTGAGACCCTCCCAGGTTATTTGTTATTGCCAGACAGGCCACTAGGTGTGGTGTGAGGCTCTTATCTGCAAGAAGGGCAGACATCAGTCTTCCCATTCTGGGTGTGCTCAGGAAATTATATGATGTCACAATAGCATACCACTCCTACTGCCATCAGTATGGACCATAGCAGCTTCGCCATTGGTTGGGACCTGGGGGAGTCCATATATATTATCCCTTTCCCTTCATGTTCCAGGGCTTTATTAAGCAGCTGGAGCAAACAATAAATCCTGTGGGTGGTCCTTCCCAATTCTATTTTTAAACAAAATCAATTAAGTAATTATCTGAGTCCTACCTAGTATGCTAAATAAAACGTGCCACCACTGAGTGTCATCAGCATGGAGATCTGAGCCTCTGGACTTAGCAGGAGCAAGGTATCTCAGGATCAGGGAGAGAACCAGGTAGTCACATATTTTCAACTCTATAACCCATCACTTCCCACCATGGCTTAACTCCTGGCTCCCTACCACTGCCAACTATACCCCAGCCTGGGAGGATTTATTTGTTCATGTTTTCATACTTTGTCTGTGACAGTACATAAATCTCAACTGTTCTCTTATGGCCTCCCAATAGTCCACCCCCACCATCTCCTTCAAAATAAAAATCTAGCACTGGCTGATGTGGCTCAGTTGATTGAGTGCTGGCCTGGGAACCAAAAGGCCACTGGTTCGATTCCCAGTCAGGGCACATGCCTGGGTTGCAGGCCAGGCCCCCAGCTGGGGGTGTGTAAGAGACAACCACACATTGATGTTTCTCTCTTTCTCCCTCCCTTCCCCTCTGTCTAAAGTAAATAAATAATATATTTTAAAATAATAAAACTCCAATTTACCTCATCTGGGAAAACTTGGCACTTGTTGGTATGTTTTGGTTTTATAATGGTTCTCTAATGAATGCATGTGTGTGTGCATATGCACACACACCAAGGCACTACAACACAAGTGTAAGACAAAACCCAGGTCTTCTATTTTTCTCCATACCCCCCCATGGGGCTTAGCACAGTGCAGGGCATATAGTAGAGGCCCAATGAATATTCACTGAATTAAGGAATCTGGCCATCTTATGCAGTTTTTCAGTTCCTGGAAAACTGATGATGTTGGCCCTGGGAAATGGATGGATTCTTATGATGAGTCTAATTATTCAAGTAAATACATATCAAGCACCTACTGCTCATATATTCAGCAGTAATTTGTTGAGCACCATCTGTGTGCCAGGGACTCTACTTAGCGTTATGACTACAAAGATTAAATAGAACATGGTTATTTTGTTCTGAGTTTACTGTTCAATTGTGAAAGACAAATGCTTTTCAAAAATATGAGAAGAGCACTTAGAGAGGTATGTATAAGTTGCTGTTGGAACACATGAGAACATCAGACCTGACGATACTGGACAAGGTTTTCCAGAATACATATTTAAGCTGGATTTTAAAGGATGAGTAGGAGTTTGCTGAGGAAGGAAAGAGAAAGACAGAGGGCACAGTTTTTATTTTATAAATATTTATTGATAATTTAATATGCACTGCTCTATAAAGTAAAGAAATGTCTGGGCCAGGAAAACTTTTGATAAAGAATAATCAGGTATTCAAAAATGGGCTTTTTCAGTGGTTCTCAATCAGGGTCAGTAGTATCTACTTTCAGAGAACTTTTGGAAATGTCTGAGAGTTTTTTGGTCATCTCCATGGTTTGCTGTGTTATTGGCATTTAGTGTCTCAGGGTCAGAGATGCTAAGTGTCCTGCAAGGAGTGAGACAGTCCCTGAATGCTGTCAGGGGTATGGAGGCATGAAAGAGCAGTGTGGGTACCTGGAATGGCAAGACATGACTCTGGGGAAGTAGGCAGGTGCCAGGTCAGGCAGGACCTAGGATGCCACAGGGGAGGGGGAACTGTAGAGCAAAAACACGGATATGGAAGTGAACTCAGTATTTGAAGGGCCTGGTGGAAAGGGAGGTGTCAAGAGAGAGGAGTGAGGTGGACTCCTAAAGAGATATCCCATCAGCTCTTCAGTATGTGGTAGTCTTTGTGGGTCAACCGCCATTCTAAGCTGTGGAACTTTGAGCCACAGTAGAATGTGAGTATGCTGTGGCATCAAATGGTGAACTTTAAAAAAAAGATTTTATTTATATTTAGAGATAGGGGAAGGAAAGGAGAAAGAGACAAACATTGATTGGCTGCTGGTTGCCTCTTGCAGGCCCCCAACCGGGGACCTTACCCACAGTCCAAGCATGTATCCTGACCGGGAATCAAACCAGTGACAATATGGTTTGTAGGATGACACCCAACCCACTGAGCTACACCAGCCAGGGCTCAAATGTTGAACTTCTGATTTTGGTGTCCATGCAACATTATTAGTGATCTGCTCTTTCTTGTCTCTTTGTCCTTTCATACCTTTGGCTCCTTGCCTCCTTCACACACTCCTTTCTCTTCCTTTTTAAACTCCTGCTCTGGTTTCTTTCCTTCTTCTAAATGAGAACTTCTCTTTGTACTTTCCTTATCTATTCACAGAAAATGATGAAGAAAGAAGCTCTTCTCCTCATCCCCAATGTCCTGAAAGTCTTCTTAGAAAATGGGCAGATCAAGTCATTCACATTTGATGGCCGGACCACTGTTAAGGTACCTACAGAGTCTCCTATCAAGTCAGTATTGCCCTCTGCAGAGCACAGGCAGCTGCTGGTCCCCTGTTTAGTTTTTCTGAATCTGCACAGAGCTGTTTGCTGCCAGAACAAAGTAGCCTTTGAGCTCCTGCTGCTGTGAGCACCTGGCTGTAAAAACACAGTCCTCAGATGATGGTGGGTGGTGGTGGGGATTTATAAGCCCAACTGTATGCTAGTGATTGTAAATGTTTGTGTACATGCCAGACATGTGTATGTGCATGCATAACTGTATATGTGTGTACATGCACATGTCCACACACATCTACTGGTGAGCTGATTTGTGTTGGTGTTACACTGGTTCATTCAAGACTCAGGAGCTAAGGATGTGAAGATCATTAAACCACTTAAAGAGCAAAAGTGATTCATATTGATACACTAACACCTATGCAAATTTATACACAGAAATCAACAAACTCAATCTCTGTGGAGATAAGCTTAGCCATGCCTTGATTTTTAAATGACAAGCAGATCTTAAGCACTGAACCAAGATTTGAAAAGTCCAACAATAGTCCCTTTGACTATTCTTACAGGAAGAGCAATTACTGATTCTTAATGGCTCAGCCAGGTGTCTAAAAATTATAGCAATTTCTTCAGTCCTGAGGAGGTTAAACAATGATAAAATTAACACCCAGGTTCAACTGTACTCTGGGACAGAAATTTCTGCTCTTGTTTCTTCTGAACTCTCTCCAGAAAGAGAATGCCATTTCCAGAATGAATGTTTCAATGTAATCAATGCTGCTCAGACTGATGGGTGGCTACAGTGCCTTCCCAGAAAACCCACATTGGCTCAAAGGTGTTCTGAGGTACCCATGCAGAGACTAAGACAACCCTATAAATCAAGAAACTCCTGGGCCAGGAAACTTTCCCTAATAGGTGTTCTGAATTGACCTTGCCAGTGGTTCTCAGCCAGGGTTGGCACTGCCCTCTTCCAGACAGCTTTTGGAAATGTCTGAGGTGATTGGGGGTCATTCCCATGTATGCTACTGGCATTTAGTCTCTCAGGATCAGAGATGCTAAGTGCCCTGTAGGGAGTGGGACAGTCCCGGAATTATGGAGAATCATCCTGCCCAAAGTGCCAGTAGCACCCTTGTTGCAAAATGCTCAGCCTACCCCGTGTTGATTGAACCAAGAGTTTCCTTGGAAGGTACAGATCTGGGGGATCCCCAATGGGACCTAGGACCAAAACACACTCCTTAGTGTGCTCTTGGATAGTCCTTTGGCAATTGAATGTGTCAGCCTATGGGGGGAGCATTGAACCAGAACTAGGTTACTTAGGAGTATCCAAATGTCCCAGTTGTGGATATCTCTTTGTGTCAGAATCCTCCTTGGTGTTGATTCATGTCCCCATACTGGAGCCTTTACTCCTGTCTTTCCCCTTGGAACCTTCTCCAAGTGTTCTCCCACCTTACAACATCACCACCATTGTGACTTTCAGATAGCCCTGGCCTTCTAGGACAACAGTGATCCCTGGCTTGTGATCTCACTCTGACTTTAGGGGGAGGTACATTGGCTATTCATTGGAACTTAGATAGGCTGCCAAGCCACTTGTCCCACAGAGAAACCTGAGTGAATTGACAACATGGCTCAGGAGCTGTTATACTTGTAACACCAATTGGCAATCACCAGCTTAGCCATCCACAATCCCAATGCAGCTGAACTGCAAAGAAAACCTCATTTGTTACTGCCAAAGCTCCAGAAACATTGGCACCTCTTACCACTTGGGTAATACAAAGAGATAGTCTCAAGTACCCACCAATTTCCAGCTGAACATTTGAATGCATCACTGTCTTTTTCATGGTCACTGAGGGGCTTTTTGGCAGCCCTGACTGTAAGGGAGCTTCATATTCCAAAGCCTGTTTCTTCCCAACCTTTACGGGGCTGAGTGATGCTGACTCCACAAACACACACTCTGAGTCCAGTGTGGGCTGAACAGCAAATAAATGGTAGAAGTTTCACACTGACATTTGGCTAACTCCCACAGATATATTTCCAGACACCCTAATATTGAAAGTAGGGCAACAGAGCAGACAGAGCCCAGAAGTATTCAGATTTATGACTGTACACAAGACCGGATGATGTAGTTTCTGTGTGTGAGCACATTTTTCAAGTTGCTAAATTGATTGTCTCTAAAAGCCAGCTACAATAAAAAATGAACATTTTGCCAGTAACTCAGGTCATTTGATTGAGATTTTGAATCCAGAAAGTCAACTTTTTAATCATATAATTGTAGCTTTGCTTTTTTTAAAAATTCCTAAATAAAGAGTTGAGGGACAAACCAGAGTGAACATTATTACATGAGAAAGTAAGGGAAGAACAGCACAGTGCCTGACATTTAGTAAGCACTCAGAAAATAATTTGTTGAAAGGAAGAAGTGAAGGAGGAAATGAGGGCCAGCAATTATACTTTCTTTTGCTATATGCCTGGCCAGTCCAAATACAGAAACACTTCTCTCCACCCCCTGCACCATTGGTGTTCCCCAGGACCCAGACCTCTAAAGAGCACTCATGTGTCCCTCTCTTCATCTGGGAGTACAATGGCTAGACCACCATAATGGCCAGTATCTCTGGCTGGCCCACTTTCCCAGCCTCAGCCTTCTCCCCAGGACTACCTTTCTTGATAGTCAGTCCCCCTCACTCATGTTTGGTGCTTAGAGTAGCTTAGAATTGAGCTCCCTCTCAAGGCTCTTTTCTCTTCCACAGGATGTGATGGTGACATTACAGGACCGTCTTTCCCTGAGGTACATTGAGCACTTTGCTCTTGTCCTTGAGTATGCTGGGCCAGAACAGAACCACAAGTTCCTGCTTCTCCAGGAGAAGCAGCCCCTGGCTTATGTAAGTTACTCTTTTATCCTGGCTTGATAGCTTTGCATGTTACTCTACTAGAAAAGGGGACCCCAGACACTCTCTTTCTGGAAAATTCATAATGATGTATTTGGCCAGCTCCCAGAAGTTACAGTTCTCAATCGAAGTCTATACTACCCACCTCCAGAGGGCTTTTGGTAGTGTTCCTTGTGACTTAAAAAGGGCATGAAGATTGTTAGTTCTGGTCTCTAAGGGAAAAGCGTGGGGTGGCAACTCACTGCATGGCTCCCAGAATGCTGAGTTGAAGAACATTGACGACTCTCCTGTCTCCTGGAAGCTGTGCCTGCTAGACTTTTCTACCTCAGAGAGGAAACTTGGGCTTCACTTGAAGCCTATTAATGAAAGGGTCAGGCAATGGAGCTTAGTGAGACCAGTGAGGCCAGAACAAGTGTCAAATGGGAATGGGCTGATTGGGGCCAAGGATGGGCAGTATGTCACCCATATCAACTTCCAAGACAGAGTAGGAGACAGTGTCTTATCATCTGAGCTCTTGTCATATGGAAAAAAAAAGGCTGGGGAAATCCAGGATGGCTGCATAGTATTTCACCAATAGTGAAGCACCAGGAAGAACCAAAGAAGAAATCAGGGCCAATCAATATTCCCAGAGAGGGAGGGAAGGAGTTGGAGAAGAACAGTTGGAAAGAATTGGCTAAATGGAAGTGAAACAAAAGCCAGAATGAGATGTAAAAAATGGAATGATTTGGGGGAGAAAAATTCTTCAAGTTTAGCTTTCGGCCAAATGCAATCTAGGGACTCACAAGTTCCCACATATGAAGGGAAGGTTGTGGGTGTCATACTTGGAGGGAAGCGTAAATGCCTCCCTGACCCTCAAGAGGTCTTTTGAATCCAACTGGTCTCTTGTTCCAAATGGGATTTTAAACTTTTTTATTGAAAAAAACATCAAATATTCATAAGAATAGGAGTTGTATAGGGAATTTTTATTACCCAGCCCTCTTTGAGTGCCAGCTTCAGCAGTACTATTTTATATTGTCTGTTTGTTTCATCTATACCTCCAAATGGCATTTTAAATATTTTATTTATCTTCTAATCAGCGACTTACTCTGCTTGAGTCTGGGCCCCACCACAAGGTGAAGAAATTAGCCCCACAGCAAGAAAAGAGTCAGAAATTCCCAGGAGCCCTCTCTTCAGACTTAGTATCTGGGAGCTTAGATCCAGTTGTTGATAAAGGCCATGGTCTGGATGAATGATTCAAAAATTCTAGTCATTTGGGTCATAAGGCAGAAAAGAAGGGTGGCTCCTCATCACTTTTCTTTAAGGGTAATTGGAATTGGCCAGGTAGGAGATAACACCCTTGCTCTGCCCAAAGCCCCACCTTGAAGAGCCACCAAGCTAGCTCCCACTAGCATAGCCATTGATTCCCAGATCTCTTTGCCTCCCACCTCTCATCCCTGGGATTCAGGTGGTGCAGCGGACACACTATCATGGAATGAAATGCCTCTTCAGAATAAGCTTCTTTCCCAAAGACCCTGTGGAGCTGCTGCGTCGGGATCCTGCTGCTTTTGAGTACCTGTACATCCAGGTAGAGTCTGATTTGAGATACTCAGAGAGACAGACCATTGGACAAAAAAGCAGGAAGGCCATCACAATGAAGTCACTATATAAGTTTTTCCAACCTCCAGGTAGCTGTGAAGGCCCTTTCCTTTTCAGCTACCATTGTAGAACATGGCCAAGTTGATTGGCCTGGTGACCTAAGCTGGTTGTGTCTCAAAGTCATGTTGTTTGTTTACACAGATCTCATCAATTTTCAGGAGCAAGCAACACCAATAACTGTGGTACCATCACAGAATCCCAAGGTTTAACAAGCCTTTTTAGGTATACAGGGGTTCCCAATCCCCAGTGCCTAGCTCCAGTAAGGAGATGATTCCCAATTTAGTTCACCTAGAGACATTTACTCTGGGACAGGCCCTGTGCTCAGTGCTAGTAATCAAGATGAACAAAGAAATGTCTTACTTGCTAGAGCTCAGAGATATGTGTATTTATATTTATAAATAAATATAAAATCATGTAGCAGGGTGTGATGCCAGTAGCAGCATCCAGGAAGCAGTTTGCCAGCTCTTCATGGGAAAGGATCATGAAGGCTTCACAGAGGAAGTGATGTGTGCATGCTCTTAGCCTTGAAGGATGAGTGGATGTTTGCTGTGTGCAGAGTTGGAGTGCAGGGGGCACATTCTACACAATGGGACTTATATCTGCAAAGGCTTGGTGGTATGAAACAGCACAGCATGATGCAAGAGCTGTGAGTAATTTATTATAGCTGGAGTGCAGAGTGTGAAGTAAGGAGTTGTAAGAAATGAAATGGGAGAAACAGGAAGCAGATGGTGAAAGGATTTATAGGTCATGGAAGCATAGGTTTTAAAATGCTTTAGGGTAGTGTTTCTCAAAGTGTGGTCCCTGGACCAGCAGCAGAAGCATTAACCAGGAACTTGTTAGAAATGCAAATTCTTGAGCCCTAGTCTAGTCCTACTGAATCAGAAACCCTGGCGTTTGGGCCCAGCAACCTGTTTTAACAAGACTTCTAGGGGACTTTGATGCCCAATGGAGTTTGAAAACCACTGTTTCAGGGCAATGGGTCTTAACTCTAGCTGCACACTAGAATGATCTTAGAAGCTTTGAGAAAAATGTTTTTCCCTACCCAAGACCAAATAAATCAAAATCTATGGGAATCAGGTCCAAACATTTACATTTTCTAAATTCTTCATATGATTCTAGCATGCACCTAAAGAAATCCTGTTGTAGGGTGGGGACACAGAAGTGTTGAAAGGAAAATAACCTGGCCAGATGAGTAATTTTGAAAGAATTCATCATGCTAAGGAAGTACACCAGGTAGGAAATCATCCCAGTGATCCGTAGAAGAAATAATGGGGGTTGGAATCAGGGCAGCAATGGAGGAGGTGGGGTATGGTGCAAGAGATATTTAAAAGATAGAATTGATGAGCTTTGAGTTGATAAGTGGTAGAGGTGGTATCATTTCCCAAGTTAGGTAGCGGAATGAGTTTGAGGAAAAGATGAGCTCATTTTGGACTATGCTGAGTTTCAGGTGCCCATAAGATATACAGAGTGCTTGATAAGAGGGGACAGAAACCCTCAAAATTCATCTCTAATGATGTCTGCTGGAGTTGTGGTATAAGACATCATGGTTGTCCTTGCTGCTCCTTCTGACAACCTAAAATGTTAGGGACATTTTTCAAACAGCCTTGGGTTTCTTTACCAGTACTTTGACTCAGTTGTGGTTCCTCTATGAATTTTATAAGTTTAGTTCTCAGTTTATTTGCCCTATATTTTTTCATTCAAACCTCCGGGAATCATCTTGGTTCAAATATTTTGGAGTTTTGTTACAAAACATATCCACCCTCTCTCTCTCCCTTTTGTAATGATATAGACTTCAGCTGTATTCTTCCTTTTTAAAAATATTTGAGAGATTACTTTTAAAATTTATTTTTCAGTTATAGTTGACACACAATATTATATTAATTTCAGAGGTACAACATAGTGAATAGACACTTATGTACCTTATGAAGTTATCACCCTGATGAGCCTAGTACCCATCTGGAACCATATATAATTATTAAAATATTGACTGTATTCCTTACTTTTTATTGTTGTATATTCCTTATTTTTTTCTTTTTTTTAATTTTATTTCAATCATTGTTCAAATACAGTTTTCTCCTTTTTACTCCCAATCCAGCCCCCCTCCCACCCCTCCCCACTTCCCTCCCATTACCACCCTCACCTTAGTTTATGACCATGTGTCCTTTAAGTTTGTTCCTGTGAACCCTTCCCACTGTCCCCTGAAATTCCATCTACTCTCTTCTGTGGGCACTGTCAGCCTGACCTCTATTTCAGTGTCTTTGGTTATATTTTACTTGTTTCTTTGTTTTGTTGTTTAGGTTCCCGTTAAAGATGAGATCATATGGTATTTGTCTTTCACTGCCTGGCTTGTTTCGCTTAGCATAATGTTTTCCAGCTATATCCAAGCTGTTGCAAAGAGTAGCAGCTCCTTCTTTCTTTCTGCTGCATAGAATGCCATTGTGTAAATGTACCATAGTTTTTTGACCCATTCATTTATTGATGGGCATCTTGGTTGCTTCCAGCATCTAGATATTGTAAATTGTGCTGCTATGAACATTGGGATGCATAGGTTCTTTTGTATTGCTCTTTTAGTGTTCTTAGGATATAGTCCCAGCAGTGGAATTGCAGGGTCAAAAGGCAGATCCATTTTGAGTTTTCTGAGGAAGTTCCATACTGCTTTCCATAGTGGTTGTACCAATCTGCAGTCCCACCAACAGTGCACTAGGGATCCCTTTTCTCCACAACCTCACCAACACTTGTTGTCTGTTGCTTTCTTTATGATGGCCATTCTGTCTGGTGTGAAGTGGTATCTCATTGTGGTTTTAATTTGCATCTCTCTGATAGCTAGCGATATTGAACATCGTTTCATGTGTCTTTGGATTTTCTGTATGTCCCCCTTGGAGAAGTGTCTGTTCAAGTCCTTTGCCCACTTTTTTAATTGGATTCCTTGTCTTCTTAGAGTGCAGTCTTGTAAGTTCTTTATATATTTTGGAGATTAAACCCTTGTCTGAGGTATCATTGGCAAATATGTTTTCCCATACAGTTGGTTCTCTTTTAATTTTGATACTGTTTTCTTTAGCTGTGCAGAAGCTTTTAATTTTGATGAGGTCCTATTTGTTTATTCTTTCCTTTATGTCCCTTGCTCTAGGGGACAAGTCAGTAAAAAAGTTTCTTCGTGAGATATCTGAGATTTTCCTACCTACATTCTCCTCTAGGACGTTAATGGTGTCACGTTTAATATTTAAGTCTTTTATCCACCTTGAATTTATTTTTGTATATGGTGTAAGTTGGTGCTCAAGTTTCATTTTTTTTGCACGTGGCTGTCCAGTTCTCCCAACACCATTTGTTGAAGAGGCTATTTTTACTCCATTTTATGTTGCTGCCTCCTTTGTCAAATATTAATTGACCATAGAGACTTGGGTATTATTTCTGGGCTCTCGGTTCTGTTCCATTGGTCTATGTGCCTGTTTTTATGCCAGTACCAGACTGTTTTGATTACAGTGGGCTTGTAGTATAGTTTAGTGTCGGGTATTGTGATCCCTCCTACTTTGCTCTTCTTTCTCAAAATTGCAGCAGCTATTCGGGGTCGTTTATAATTCCACATAAATTTTTGAAGTGTTTGTTCTATGTCTGTGAAATATGCCATTGGTACTTTAATGGGAATTGCATTGAATGTGTAAATTGCTTTGGGTAGTATGGACATTTTGATGATATTAATTCTTCCAATCCATGAACACGGTATATGTTTCCATTAGTTTGTGTCTTTCTTGATTTCTTTCTTCAGTGTTACGTAGTTTTCTGCATACAGGTCTTTTACCTCTTTGGTTAGGTTTATTCCTAGATATTTTATTTTTCTTTTTGCTATTTCAAATGGGATTTTTCCCTTGATCTCTGCTTCTGCTGTTGCATTGTTGGTGTACAGAAATGCCTTTGATTTCTGGATATTGACTTTGTATCCCGCTGTTTTGCCAAATTCATTTATTAGGTAGAGCAGTTTTTTGGTAGAGTCTATGGAATTTTCTATGTATACTATCATGTCATCTGCAAACAGTGACAGTTTTGTTTCCTCCTTTCCGACTTGGATGCCTTTTATTTCTTTTTCTTGTCTGATTGCTGTGGCTAAAACTTCCAGTACTATATTGAATAGAAGTGGTGAAAGTGGACAGCCTTGTCTTGTTCCTGATCTTAGTGGAAAAGATTTTAATTTTTGCCCATTGAGTATGGTGTTGGCTGTAGGTCTCTCATATATGGCCTGTATTATGTTGAGGAATGCTCCCTCTATTCCCATTTTGCCAAGTGTTTTTATCATGAATAGGTGCTGTACCTTATCAAATGCTTTTTCTGCATCAATTGATATAATCTTTAGGTTTTTATCTTTTGTTTTGTTTATCTGATGTATTACATTTACTGACTTGTGAATATTGAACCATCCTTGCATCCTTGGAATGAATCCCACTTGGACATGGTGTATGAATCTTTTTAATGTATTGTTGGATGCGGTTTGCCAGTATTTTGTTGAGGATTTTAGCATCAATGTTCATCAGCGATATTTGCCTGAAGTTTTCTTTCTTTGTTGTGTCTTTATCTGGTTTTGGAATTAGGATGATGTTGGCCTCATAAAAAGAGTTTGGGAGACTCCCACCTTTTTGGATTTTTTGGAAAAGTCTGTGAAGGATAGGGGTTAGCTCTTCCTTAAATGCTTTGTAAAATTCTCCTGTGAAACCATCTGGTCCAGGGCTTTTGTGTGTTGCGAGTTTTTTTTTTTTTTTACTGCTTCAATTTATTTTGTTGTTATTGGTCTGTTCAGGCTTTCTGCTTCTTTTTCATTGAGTTTTGGAAGATTATATTTTTCTAGAAATTTGTGCATTTCACCTAGGTTTTCAAATTTCTTGACATACAGTTCTTTGTAGTAATTTCTTACAGTCCTTTGTATTTCTGTGGTATCTGTTA